ACTATTGGCTGATTTTCTGCTAATTGTTTCTGTGATATTTTTTCTATCATATGGCCAAATTTTATATTGTGATAACAGTAATTTGTTACCCTGTATTTAAGACAATTAGCGATAAGTGACCCAAAACCTGCACCCACTGAGTCTGTAAACACACCAGCGTTGTAGGTAACAACTGGTTGACTCCCTGTTTGTGGCTCCGGCACAAGTTCTGGCTCAAAGGGTGGAGTGAGGGCACAGCTACATGAAAGGTTATTTGCAAGAGACTCATATCTCTCAGCACTAAAAGTAACTAAATCCACAAGTTTTCCTGCCTCAATCATGTGTTTGTTGAGTTGTGATTGGGCAGATTCATATTTTTGGAACATATCATTTAAGAACATTTCACGTTGTAAAAGTTCTTGTTGAAGAGCCTGAATGTCTTTGTCATATATGACCCTACATTGTTCTAAATCACTTTTGCATGATTTAAGTTCCTGAGTTAGATTTAATTTTTGTTTTCTTAAATAGACATTCTTTTTAGACAGATTTTGCTTCTCTTTGAGTTTTTTAATTGTTTTACTTAGTTTTATATATTTTCAGGGTTTTGCTATAATTGTCACAGTTAGCAGGTGACTTGGGTTTAATGAAAATAATACCTTAGAACGTGAAACTAATATAATCTACTAGATCCAAGTCACAATAGGACTCATATTGCATATCGTGACTTGAGGTTTACAGTCAAGTTACATTTTAAATGATGCTGTGGCTAGTCGCAATGTTATATAAAGATATTTTTTATCTTTTCCCCGCATTAGGGTTTTCTCCTGCGTCGTGGGTATGCTTACAAACATACACATTGACAAATACAAACTACTCAGATCCGGATGTATTTCTGACACACAGCCTGCAGAGCAGCCAGCTGCCTTGCCACTACGCCACACATACATGCCGCGGGTTAGATTCCCGCACGGAACAACACCTTGTGTGACCCACAAATGGTTTTTCGGGAGGCTTGTATGTGTATATTAGCATGTTTGTAAACGCGACTACGAGATAAGAGAAAATCCTAAAGAGGAGTAAAATCTTTTAAAATAAAAAAGAAATGTAAGTCAGTCTCCCATAAACCCAATCATATCATCCTCAAACCTCTTGTGTCTCCCGGCGCAGATTGCTTATCGAGGTAAGGCAAAGGCCCAATCCCCTCTATACGCAATAATTCCATTCTCAACCTACTTGTAATTACTCCAGTGTTTCGTGTGAATATGGACTATTTACTTGATGCTTACAAACATACACATTGACAAATACAAACTACTCAGATCCGGATGTATTTCTGACACACAGCCTGCAGAGCAGCCAGCTGCCTTGCCACTACGCCACACATACATGCCGCGGGTTAGATTCCCGCACGGAACAACACCTTGTGTGACCCACAAATGGTTTTTCGGGAGGCTTGTATGTGTATATTAGCATGTTTGTAAACGCGACTACGAGATAAGAGAAAATCCTAAAGAGGAGTAAAATCTTTTAAAATAAAAAAGAAATGTAAGTCAGTCTCCCATAAACCCAATCATATCATCCTCAAACCTCTTGTGTCTCCCGGCGCAGATTGCTTATCGAGGTAAGGCAAAGGCCCAATCCCCTCTATACGCAATAATTCCATTCTCAACCTACTTGTAATTACTCCAGTGTTTCGTGTGAATATGGACTATTTACCATCAGATTATCTGTATGCTCGATAGCCCTATAGTTATTTTATCAATGCGAATGTTTTACAAATTCTATTCCATTCTATAATCAAGACTGAGCCAGAAATCAATATTAGAAATCCTGATGCCCAAGTCTGAAGGAACCATGTCTTGGTTGTTTGTGACGACATATATATTAATATGTTTCAGTTCCGTATGTCAACCAGTAGTCGATTTGATGGACAATCCACGTGCCGACCTGTTCGCTTCTATTGTGTGATTAATTAATTTGTCGACACTCCCTGTATGCTATTGGATGTTGATACTGCTTTATTTTTTCATGGCGGAAAACCATCAAATGCCTTGGAGAGAAGTGTGGAAGAGCCATGCTTCGGCGGCACGAATGGGTTGGCTCCACCGAAGGTATCACTCCGGTGGAGCCAACCCATTCGTGCCTCACCGAAAACCGGCGTGAAACACAGCGTTGTGTTTCGCCGTGTGAGTGAGGTTACCGGAGGCCCAATCCTTCCCCTCCCCCAATCCTTAAATCGCTAAATCCCTAATCCCTAAAAGGTCGGCAACGCAATCGTAACTCCTCCGTAGCGGGTGTCCATCGGCGGCGCTGATTGCTAACCATTAGGTTTGTGCTCGTTTGCCGACCTATTACATAAAATAAAAAACATTCGAGAGGAAGTGCCAGACTTTATGAATAGAAATTTTATTTTTCTATTAGTAGTTACTTAACTGAGAAATGTTGAACTAATTTCAAATCACAACGAGACTCATATTCATCAGTGCAAGACGGAAAATCACCAGGGCCAGCCTCACTACCTATAAAACCTAAATAAATATACCAGATTATGGACCACTACTGTGCAATGCCTAACACAGCACATCCAGAGGGAAGGAACTTTGTGTCAATTTAATTACAGGCAATTTATCTCTAAAATATTTTAGATTTCTTTTCTTCTTTTGAATCATTTTACACTTTTTTCCGTAATCCCTCAACAATTCAATATTTTTAAAAGGGAGAATACTTGGGTGATACATAAGGGAGTGTCAGAGTTACTGACTTGTTGACTTGTTTCGGTCAGTCGGCGAGCTAAATATTTGCCATCCACAGACTCTCGCACCATTTTTTTTCTGAAGTATCTAACACTACAACCGTAGCAGGACTTCAGGACAATATAAAATGCGGCTTCGTATTCAGGCTGCGGTATAAATAATGGTCGGAGTCTGCGTTGACCGCACATCGTTTTGTGACTGAAATAGCTTGATTGTGCGTTATCATACCACGTTTGTCATCAACCATGTTTTTAAAGGGGTATATACGATACATTGACCGTCTAAAAAGGTCATATTAGCTCGAAGGTTATAGCACCCGCTTCTAATGGTTTTTTTTTTATATGATATGTTTGCAAACTAGCTGTCGAATTGCCTGATGTAAACCATCAGCGCTGTCCAAGAGCACTCGCAACAACCAAAAAGGTTGCAAGTGCACTGCTGCAAGGTTTGCAGTCTTTTAGGGACTTAGGGATTGAGAAGGGATGGGTGGAGGGTATTGATGGAGCCTACGGTAACTCACATGAAACACAACGCTGTGATTGTTTCATGCCGGTTTTCTGTGAGGCCGTGAAATCATTTTGGTCGAGGCGACTCATTCATCACGAAACATAGCTCTTCCATGCTTACTAGAAGAACAAATTGCAACCAGTTCGAAGTGTGGGAGAGCCAAGCTTCGGCACGAATGGGTCGGCTCGACCGGAGTGATACCACGGCCTCACATAATACCGGCGTGAAACAACCCAGCCTTGTGTTTCACCGTGTGAGTGAGGTTACCGGAGGCCCAATCCCTCCCCTTCCCCTATCCTTTCCCGATTCTTTTATCCGCAACCCCTATCCCCAAAAGGCCGGCAACGCACTCGTAACTCATTTGGTGTTGCGGGTGTCCATGGGCGGCGCCGATTGCTTACCATCAGGTAATCCGTCTGCTCGTTTGCCGACTTATAACATAAAAAAAAAAGTTCACCCTGAGACGTTCTTACCCATAGGAATCTACACTTTAGAAAATAGCTTCACAGGCATTTTTAACTTCTACAATGTTCAAAAATGCCTATGATGATTTCTGAAGGAACCGGTGGTTTTTAGTCAGTAAGAGCTATACACTCTATTTGGCTCCACGGGTTGGTAAAAAGAACTTGATGACCATCCTCATTAGAAAATAATACTTCATTATTGGCAGTTAGAGTAGTGACATAGCCAACGGTTTGAATAAGCCTTTTAAACATATTTTCCTTTTCAGGGTAATCATTCAAAACATAAAAGAAAACTGATTGATTTTTTGTAAAAAAATGACAAATAAAAAAAGAATGTTTATTACAAAAAATATACAATAAGCATAGCTAGAATAGAAAACTAAACCTTAAAAACTATGTACAAAGTCTTATTTTACCTTAAACATTGTATCCCCTAGTTTGATTACACCAACATATACATCCTATATACAATACTGACGGACCAAATGTCGCGTTCGTCATAATACTTAAGGCCCAGATGGCCAAAATGTGGCCTTATGAGGCCATCCATCGAGAAAATTACGTAAAAAGAACTTTAAAGCTATTAGGAGTTAGATACTAAATTGCTAGCAATTTTAAATTCGAAAATGAAAAAAGATAATTAATTATGCATCATAAAGTCATGGTTTAAAAGTGTATAAGTGTGAGAAAGACGGCTATACATACCCACATTTTATAAAAAAATAAACTTATATTAATAATGTTTTCCAATTAATTTCAAACGTTATTTTCACTATGAAATAACCTTTACAATTGATTGAATGATTAACAGAACAATTTTACAATCCTTATAGAGAAAAGCTTTTTAAATATTTAAAATTGGAATGTGAATCAGAAAAATACAAATAATTTAATTGATAATCGTTTTGCAAAAGATTGTTCGAGAATTAAAATATTAGACGGGATTATTGGAGTATTCAATTTTATATATTTGAACTGATTAATATGAACAGATGTTTGAGCAATTTGTTATTTACTCGTTTGGACTTAAATATAAATTTGATTGCACGTTCTTCAGTCACATATTACTGAAAAGAAACATATTTGAATTTGAGTATTTAAAAAGGTTAAGTTACACTACTTTGTTTTCTTAAGCAATGATATTTAAGTCCAAATTTAACTGCATTATTATGAGAATAAAAAGGACTGCAAATTTATTATAAATTTTTCCATATCATACAATTTTAATTTTAACTAAGTGACAATGGAGTCCAAATTCGATTGCACGATGAAAAATATATACAGGTTGCAAAAAATTTTCTAGTATTTAAATATGTGTAGATACAGTGTTGACAGATACGTTTGAAATTCCAGGTTTAACGTGATTGGCGTTGGAATCTTCTTTCTCTTTCCTTTCTCTATCTGGTTTCCTTTTCGGGCCTAAAAGGAGTTTTTGGAGCTGACAGGCTGGGGCTTCCACGAAGAGATGGAGTGGAAGAGCCAAGAGATACGTAGTTGTTACTATACCAGCATATAACATTATCTGGAACAATAAATAATGAGTTTAGTGTTATACTATTAAGGGTTGATTTTTCAATAGACAGGTAAAAGTTAGGTATTTTTTTTTTTTTTTTGTCAGGGGAAAATCATCCAATGACTTCTCCCGCCCAGGGTAAGGCGAGAGAGAGTGTCAGACTCTTACTGACTAAAAACCCCCCCGTTCCTTCTCCTGCTCTGGGCCGAGGTCGCGGTGCCTCATTGCGCTTACCCCGCAGCCCCGGCTAAACATCAGCCCTTTAGGGCCCCGACTGTGGTGGTCTATTGGCTCTTTGAGGCGCGCGCGGAACGCTACGCGCCGTACGCTTGGGTCCGGTTCTGGTCGGGCGGCAAGCTACCCTTACTCGCCGTCCGCAGACCCGCGCTTACGGTGGCCGGAGATCATCTCTCGATCCCCGACGTCCGGAATGTCGCCTTCTGCGGCGGCTGGGGCGCGAGGAGGATAGTTCCCTCACGCGCTCCGCCTCCTCCTTTGCGAGCATAACTGCTTCGCAGAAGGAGGAGATAGCTTCCCAGTTCCTCTCACGCTGCACCATGGCCTCGATTAAGGCCGGGCGCGAGAGGTCGCCGCCGCCGATCACTTCCCTGAGAACACGGCGGTGCTCAGCCCAAGCAGGGCACTCCGCCACCGTATGCTCCACCGTGTAGGTATAAGTTTTAAAACTGATAAGTACCAATGTGAGCTTTTCCGACTTATATGTACTTTCTATGATTATTTAGACATCACTGACTTACGGTGAAGGAAAACATCGTGAGGAAACTTTGGATGGACTTATAACTTTTAATTATAAGGCTGAAATAGCAGGTCCTCCTTGAGCAACCATGGTGATTAATGCTTAACCCTTCTCCGTAGGAGAAGAGGGCTTTGCTCAACTGTGGACACTTATAGGCTGATGATGTGATAGACTCATAGGTACATTGTTTTATTTTCAAGTAGGAGAAATTGCTAAAACAGAATATATAGGCTGACTCGACCGGAGTGACACCACAGCTTCACAGAAAGCTGGCGTGAAACAGAGCACGCGGAGTGATGAGATTATAGTTGCAGTTTTTTTAAAAAAAACATTGCCCCGACTTTTGTTTTATTTCCTGTGTCGCGGGTGCGTTTACAAACATACCTACAAACTCACATACAAAAGCCGCTCAGACTCGAAACAACAATTTGTGGATCACACAAAGAGTTGATTCGAGCGAGAATCGATACACCAACACATTGCACAGCAGCCAGTTGCCCAGTCACTGCGCCAACCGGCAGTCATACTTACAGCAGTGTAATCAGTAGCGTAGAAAGACCTCCTCATCTGACCTCCATAGGTCCTCAACACCGTTGCGTGAAGTAACATGGCGCAGTAAGACATTCTGCCTAGTGGCTGGAGAGGGCCCCATTCCACGGATCCTACGTAGATTCCTGTAAAAAGGTTAAATTTGAAAACCATCGCTAAACTCAAAAGAGTAACCATGGAGTTTCTTGCTCGTTCTTTTCCATTCGAATCTAAAATTTGGAACGAGAACCTAGCTTCACTGACGAACTGACTAACAGACTATTATTCTATTTTGACGTTTCAAATGTACCTACCTATTTATGGTTTAGTTGGAATAAATGGTACAATTTTGACTTTTGAAGAAATTCTGTAGTCTTCTTCTGTCAAGGGCTGCAGGAAGAGATTCAAATCAGGAATAGGCATTATTTTTGTACCCTTATTGCAGTACATATATGTTTTCCTGTGTACTGTATGTGTGTTGTGCATTGTTAGTATAAAAATCATTGTTCTTATCGAAAAAATATTTAAGGTATTGTACATTTTTGGCTCGCTATTTAAATTATTTAATAGCTTATTTGTGAGGGGAGGGAGAGTCAGGCTCTTACTGGCTGCGTACCCTCCCGGTTCCTTCATGTTTTTGATATACACATTGATAATTAATAATAGATTGATTTTTGACTTTTCTTTCAAGAGTCACAACAGATCAATCAATCTCATCAGCGTACGCATTGCGGTGGCGTCGTTTAGCCGGCTTGAAACTGACGGAGCTCTTCTCAACTAATTCACGCGAGTAAAGCGTTATTTTTAACAAATTAAGTCTTTTTATTATAAAATTCGTGAAACATTCTAAATTAATTATTATGTTTTCGGCTTACTCACGTAATAATTTGACGAGATACTCGACTACTTTCAAGCCATGCTAGAGGCCCATATTCATATGAGTAGCAGCGCGACAGTCGCCGAGTCGCGTGGCTTGAAACTAGTCGAGTATCTCGTCAAATTATTACGTGAGTAAGCCGAAAACATAATAATTAAATTAAGTCTTCTTAGTATCACGATAGTAACTATATATTATGTATTCGAAAATACTTACTGTTCAACTTGTAAAAATATCCAATAATGAAGACGCAGATGGCTAGAGCGAAGAAGTTCTGGTTTAGAGCGTTGAATATAGCTGCCTCAAACGCTGACGCTTCACGATGGTGGAGATCCCAACCCATCAGGACAGTTCCACCAGCGATCGGAATTGAAGCCAGGAAGAGGAGTTTCATGAGCTGCAATAGAAAATGGTTATTAAATTATTCTATGTAAGGTCTGATTTGTGTTGTATGGTAAATAGGTTTGTAGGTGTATTACATTATGTAATTAGCTAAGATTTTGAATAGCATAACAATACTGGCGAATTAGTTTTATTTTATATTTTGTAGGTGAGCCATACTTAGGCATAAATGGGTTGGCTCGACCGGAGTGATACCACGGCCTCACAGAAAATCGGCGTGAAATAACCACAGCGTTGTGTTTCACTGTGTGAGTGAGGCCCCATCCTTCTTCTTCCCCAATTCCGCCTTAATCCCTAAATTTCAAAAACCCAAATCCCTAGAAGGACAGCAACGTACGCGTAACTCCTCCATTGTTGCTTGTGTCTATGGACGACGCCGATTGCTTACCATCAGGTAATCCGTCTGCTCGTTAGCTGCCAAAGCATATAACAAAAAAAAAATACATAGGTATAAACATTTTCTTCAATCACTCTTTCTATTAAAAAAAACTGCATGAGAATGTGTTGTGCAGTTTTACAGATTTAAGCATACATAGGGATAAAGGGTCAGAGAGAGTGACGACGTCTCGTTGTAAAGTAGTTTTAGGCCAGTCAAGCAACATTTCGTACACGATTCAAACATCCCTGCTTTCCCTTCAGTAAAGAACGAATACTAACCATTGACCCTCTTAGATCCCATTTCTTCTGCTGTGCCTTGTGGTAGAAGTAGGCAGTCAAGACTCCAAGATGATAACCAGCCCAATTTCCTTGCGCTGACACATAAGCATGGTAGAATGTATCGTTGTATCCAAATATATCCCTTATCGATCTGTAAATAGAGTTACAAATCACATTTAACTAAGTACAAATATAGGTACGCAGATAAAGGATAATGTATCGTATTAAATAAAAAATAGAGATGTAAATGAAATAACAGGAGAAATGGTGGATAAGGCATTTCGATTTCGATTTGCGAGTTGAAGTTATGTGAAAAATTTTTGGATGCCATACGAATTCACGTGCAAAAGTTATGTTAGTCACGATTTCTATTATGGGATCAGCAGAGATTCAAGTACTTTCGAGTTTGTTCGAATTCTGAATTTTTAAGTGTGTGCGTGAATGTAATCTTTTTTTACTATATGTTTTGGGGAGTTTAGTATTTACATTGATGTAGGAACAATTAGTTTTAGTCAATAGATGGCCAACGTACCGATGCATTACCTGATGGTAAGCCATCACCGCCTCCAAGGGACACACGCAACAACAGACAAGCGACGAGTTCGTTGCCGACCTTTTGGGGCTTAGGGATTAGCAGATGTAGTGATTTGGGGAAGGATCGGGTCTGTAGCTGGCATAATCAAACGCCTCATCATCATCATCATCATCATCAGCCTATAAGTGCCCGCTGCTGAGCGAAGGCCTTTTCTCACACGGAGAAGGTTAGAGCATTAATCACCATACTTGCTCAATGCGGATTGGCGATTTCAAACTTATAATTAGAAATTATAAGTCCTCACGATGTTTACCTTCACCGTTTGTCAGTAATGTCTAAATAATCGTAGTACATATAACTCGGAAAAAGTCACATTGGTACTTGCCAGGTTTCGAACCCACACCCTCATGCATGCGAAGCGGGCGCATTAACCTCTGGGCCACCACCACTTTTTGGTCGCGGCAAATCAAACGCCTAATAGTTTGATCCTAGTTAATATCCTACTGAACGAAATACTTGAGGTCCACTCACACTAGTGTCGTCTGTTGAACAAAACTACGGCAGTCTCTACTATGTAGTAGGATGGTAGGTAGAAAGTCTTTAATTGACTTCTCTCGAAAGAAGGAATTTAAAGTGTGGGAGAGCCATGCTTCGGCACGAATGGGTCACAGAAAACCGGCGTGAAATAACCACTGCGTTATGTTTCGCCGTGTGAGTGAGGTTACCGGAGGCCCAATTCTTCTCCTTTCCCAATAGGGATTGGGAAAGGAGAAGCATTCCTCAATCCCTAAATCTCCAAATCCCTTATCCCTAAAAGGTCGGCAAGGCACTCGTAACTCCTCCGTTGCGAGTGTCCATGGGCGGCGCTGATTGCTTACCATCAGGTAATCCGTCTGCTCGTTTGCCGAGCTATTACATAAAAAAAATTGTGGGATTAAGTGGCAAAATATATGAAATATAGTACATCAATTTTGGTTTATTTCCTCTTAAATTCTTCTTACGTCTTCTGTCTTATCTGTATTATTATTTATTCCCCTTCTCTATTCACCGTTAATAGTAGTTCATATATTCCTTCCTGCTGATTCATACTTTCCCTTTCACTCAATATTCACTCCACACATAATTTACATAAACTTACTCAGGAAAGATGCTGACTCTGATCGGCAGTAGGTTCATGAAATAACTCTGCAGGAATGGTATCAGTAAGCTGATGACCATGACTGCGGACAGAACTGGTACTCCACTCCTGGGCCACCTCCAGATGATTAGGAGGACCACTAGAGTTACCAGGAAGAGCTGAGTGTCAGTACCTAGGTACCTGGAAAGAAGAAAAGAGAAATAAATTATAGGAGAAATATATTTTTTTGTCAGGAAAAACCATCAAATGACGTCTCCCGCTCAGGGTAAGGCGAGAGAGAGTGTCAGACTCTTACTGACTTAAACCCCCCCTTCCTTCACCAGCTCTGGGCCGAGGCCCCGGTGACTCATTGCGCTTAACCCGCAACCCCAGCCATGTTTAAAGGTTCAAAGCCAAATTTCAATTTGATCATTATAGGCAGTTCAAAGTATGGGAGAACCTTGCTTAGTCACGAATGGGTCGGCTCGACTGGAGTCATACCACGGCCTTACAGAAAACCGGCATGAAACAACTCTTACGTTGTGTTGATACCGGAGGCCTAATTCTTCCCCTCCTACCATCCTAAATTCTCAAACCCCTTATAACCCACAAGAGTTCGGCAAAGTACTTGTAGTAACTCCTTTGGTACTACGAGTGTCCATGGGCGGCGCTGATTGCTTACCATCAGGTAATCCGTCTGCTCGATTGCCGACCTATGACATAAACAAAAACCTTATGAACGTCAAGTAGTAGTCTGTCAGTCCCTTAATAAGTATTTGCACGTTAGAGGATACTACCTACCCTACCTACCCTACCTACCCTACCTACCCTACCTACCCTACCTACCCTACCTACCCTACCTACCCTACCTACCCTCCCAATCCCATGTACCCTAAAAATGGCGTAGGAAGATTAATTTTTTTTTGGTATGAGATGGGAAATTCACAAATGACTTCTCCCGTCCTGGATTGAGCAAAACGGAGTGTCAGACTCCTACTGACTAAAAACGAATTAGTTTCCTCTCCTTCTCTCATAAATGTCACTACAACCATTGACTACAACACACACAACCACACACTACCAACAACAACTGTCGGTAGTTTGCGGTTGTAGGATCAAGCTTCTTATGAGAAGGCAATCACTTCATATTATTACCAGACTGAATCCAATTAAGAAAAGGATATACGGAATGCCAGTAAAAATTACATTAGGTGGTTATTTTTAATTTTAACATCATCTAAATGTCTTAAAAACAAAAGGCAACTTAAATTTATTTTGGCAAAGTGCGGTTGACATCTATGTCAAGGCGATATTTTTTTTATTACCCTACAAGCACGAACTAGATTAAGATAGTATTTTAACCAACAGTAATTACAAGGAAGGCCCTTTGCGCAATGCTTCTAAAAATAAACTCTGCACCTTACACAATAAAACTTTAATTTAAGTGCATATTTACTTTAAGATGTGTGATCGTATAATATTTATTTTGTTGGCGTAATTTCGCGTGAAAAACTGGGGTTTGATGCAATGTTTTCAAGGTTATGTTTATGGAAAGTAGATATTAGCCTTGTGTCACTGTGTTTGTAATAGAAAAAAGTTGGTTTAAGGTAAAAAATGTTGTCTGTAATCTTGGCTCGTTTATCTAAGTTTTGCGTAAGATGGTTTACGCAGAATACGAAAAAGTAATTGCACTTTTATAGTTTTTTTTTTTATTTTGTCTGTTTTGTTGTAAATGACAAAATATTTACAACTAATTAATTTTAGCACTAATTGTAACATTCAAAGAAAGATTTTTTGGCTAGGTACTTCAATTGGACACCCGCAAGAACAGAGGAGTTACAAGTGCGTTGCCGACCTTTTGGGGTTTAGGGTTTTGGAAATTTAGGAATTGGGGAGGGATTTGGGGAGGAAAAGGATTGGGTCTCCGGTAACCTCACCCACACGGCGAAACACAATACTGTGGTTGTTTCACACCGCTTTTCTGTGAGGCCGTCGTATAACTTCGTGCCGAATGAAGAATGGCTCTCCCATACGACACTATGGTCCATAATTGGTTATAGGTAAATATGGTAGTAATATCACGTTGCTCACAAATAAGGGTCCCGTTGTGAGATATGTTGTCAGTTAATTCACGTGATTATTCGTCGTTATCACTAATCACTACATAGTATAAACTAGAACCAAGACCCAGCCATGTGTTGCTAACCAGGCTAGAGCGTTCGGCGCGTAGCGTTCCGCGTGTGCCTCAAAGAGCCAATAGACCACTACAGGCGGGGCCCTATAGGGCTGATGTTCAGCCAGGGTTGCGGGGTAAGCGCAATGAGGCACCGCGAGCTCGGCCCAGAGCAGTGGAAGGAACAGGGGGGTTTTTAGTCAGTAAGAGTCTGACACTTCCTCCCGCCCGGCCCTGGGCGGGAAAAGTCATTTGATGATTTCATCACAAAAAAAAAATCACGTATTGCTGTGGCTAAGGTTCTTGCCATATTAGGTACATATGGACAAATAATTTGCAATAAAATAATATTGTGACTAAATTGAGATGTAAGCTATTCCTATCTTTCAAGTTGGATCAAAATGCACACGTAATGCAAATCAAATTTAAAATCGGTTTAGTAGTTTTGGAGTCCATCGCGGACAAACACGTGACACGAAATTATAAAGATTAATCAAAGTCGCTTTCTCTGTCCCTATATCCCGATAAATGCTTCAATCTTAAAAACTATGCAACGGATTTAGATGCGATTATTTTTAGTAGATAGAGTGATTGAAAAGGTCTGATATGTATGAGAACACTAGCTTTTGCCCGCGACTTCGTTCGCGTGGAATAGTGACTTCCTGCAGATTTTTGGTATAAAAACTATCCTATATCCTTTCTGGAGTTCCAAACTATGTCTGTACCAAATATCACAGAAATTAGTTCAGTAGTTTAGGCTTAAAGTAAAGACAGACAGACAGAGTTACTTTCGCATTTATAATATTAAGTTTGGATTCATTACATAGTGGAGAAACTTAGTATTAGCATTGCATCCGTGCAAAACCGTCGCTAGGTTTCAAACCAATTTAGGTAACTCTTTTTTTTATTGCATAATACACTAATCTAACTTTATAATAATTTATAGAATAAGGCTTATTACTTTGCGGAAATCCATGACACGTGTTTTGATGTTAGGGAAAATATTTAGTTTTAATTCTGCGACAAAAATCCAGGCTTGTTGCAGGATGCAATCCCACTCCTATGCAATCATGCATATGCACATGCAGCGAGGGTAACATGCATATGCACACATAGACAAAACGGAAAAACATGCCACGCAATAACTTAATAATTTAATTTTTAATGCATTCTAAGTACATAAAAATTAAAAGGTTATCAAAACTACACGCTTACCCTAATTGCAATAAAACGCATATTTCATGGACATTCTCGGACGGATTGCTACATTCTACTAAGTGTTTACGCATCTCTGATTAACATAAATGGTTTCCTTTTCCTTTCGAGTAGATACTTACATTGTTTTTATAATTAGTTTCTTAAAGGTCATTGACCGTTTTTCGTCTATTTTTATACTTATCTTTGTTTTTGTAATTATAATTACGCGTGTAATGTTTAAAAATAACTTGCATATGTTTTTTTTGGAGAGGTTGGTTAGCGAGCCTACGGATGGCCTGATGGTAAGCAATCGGCGCGTCCATTTGGACATAAGGTCTTCGAATATTCACGAATTGGAAAGGGATGGGGAAAGGGGGAGGTATTGGTCCTTCGGTAACCTCACTCACACGGCGAAACATACCGGTGTTGTTGTTTCACGCCGGACTTCTGTGAGGCCGTGGTATCACTCCGGTCGAGCCGGCTGTTTATCGAAGTGTGTTGGACCGTTTCATTAATAAAAACCAAACAATGGTTTTTATTAACAAAATTATTACCCCAATTAGGACTTCTCCTGTGACGTGGGTGCGTTAACAGACAAACAATTTGACATACACATCACACCCAGACCTGGAACAACAAATTGTGGATCACACAAAGAGTTGTTCCGTGCGTTAATGCAGTCAGATTGAATGATTAAATTAACTTACAAATGTTCTCCATATGAGATTCTTATCAAACTGAATTTTTATTCCAGTAAATATTGCTAAAGGAAGTCATCGCTCAAAATACACCCGAAATATGTAGTATCATGATAAACGATTTGAAAAAAATATTTTTTTTTGTATTTTTTTCTCATACCGCTGCGTCCTTCGGTCCTTTGGGTTTGGGTCCTTCGCAAAATTTGAATGCGTTCAGGGCATGTTCAATCCGTCTTATTTCCATTGTTTTTGTTTAAAATGAGGTATGTTATATGGCGATAAATTCTCAAAACCCTTTTATGTCATTTGAGAATAATATGTTAATGAAGTGGTTTTGCGGAACGAAATTAAATAAAACTTTACATGATGTTTTCTTTTTTTTATGGTATCAATATGGTATCAAATGATATCAATACCGGATACTTACCCAGGATTATTGTGAAATAAATAACACCAGAAACTAAGAGATCTAAGGCAGAATGTTTTGAATTGTCCAGTTCTTAATAGCCAACTTTTTAAAGAAGGACGATTTAGTCTGACGCACTAAAATCGCAAAAGTCACCATAAAGGCTGACTTACAGGACCATGCACATCAAGATTTGCTCTAATTAATTTTATTGTATGCAACAGGCACGAAACTCGCATTGAGTAAACAGGGCTAATTAACTTCTTAGATTCTAAAGTTGAATATCTACCATCAAGTTACTCCCATGATCCCCCCCAACAGAATATTATAAAACAAAAACCAACTTACCAAGCTTGAGGCAAACAAAGGTGCTCAAACGGGAAGAGATTAGGGCTCAAGATGACGAGCTGCCACCAGTTCATGCGGCACATGTCTCGTTCCCTCTTCACCACAGCGTCCCACATAGGTCCTGACCCCATGTGGGGCACCCACGTCATCGCTAGACCCATCACTACTAGTACTGCTGGCATTAACCTGTGAAAAACGATAAAATTATTGACTGCCTCTACTTTATATTATTCTTCATTTTTGGAAGAATTTTAAAAAGAATAAAAATAAATATTTTTGGTTTACTGAGTCTGGAATCGTTAATAGTGTTTGACCTTGACGGGAGTATATTACAAAAAACACTGAAGCGATTTGAAATTAAGGAACATTGTGTCAATTAAAATCTTTCTGAATTTGGTGACGTCAATATCCTTCTTCGAGAAATAACTGAAGTGACCTTGAATATTCTACGTACAATAATTCTTCTTCAAGATGCCCTTTAAATTGCAGATTATTTCGAACTTCTTTCTTAACAAAATTCCCCAAGATCCTCACCTTAACCATCGATTCACGAGTGCCATTGGAACTGTCTTCAATGTAAACGGATGAGACTCAGCATACACCAACATCTTGTAAGCCATGAGGAAGCCTCCCATCACGAAGAAAATCTGGACTATCACTCGAGCGTTGAAGAGGAGAGCCTTGAAGAAGTCGTCATAAGACTGAAAAGAAGAATACAATTAGTTTACCACGGCCTCACAGAATACCGACGTGAAACAACCCAGCGTTGTGTTTCGCCGTGTGAGTGAGGTCACCGGAGGCCCAATCCCTCCCCTTCTCCTATCCCTTCCCGTTCCTTTTATCCGCAACCCCTATCCCCAAAAGGCCGGCAACACACTCGTAACTCATTTGGTGTTGCGGGTGTCCATGGGCGGCGCCGATTGCTTACCATCAGGTAATCCGTCTGCTCGTTTGCCGACGTATACCATAAAAAAACCCCATTGCCATTATTAGTCATAGCCAAGTGCTTCATCTGTGGACCTCATTTACATGTTTAAGAAAACATCCAAAATTTGAAAACTTGGCAAACAGGTTAGATTGCAATTTTATTATTTCATAAATACATTGGTAAAAAACTTCTGAAAACTAGTTTTTATTAGGATAAGTACTCAATAAGTCCTGGCACTTATGAGATATTTTATGGGTTTAAATAATGTCCCAAGTCATTAGCATTGGTCATGCAAACAGAATGTATATCCAAAAAAAATTTAGCGCAATCTGCTTCAAAATTTTGTTGCAAGATTTTACTTCAGAAACGTATTATAGGTATATATTAACTTATAAAGTAGTCAAATAACTAAATCAATACAGCATACAATAACAACGTAATAAAATAAATTGACTTATTGGCGGTTGGTGCGGTGGCTGGGCAACTGGCTGCCATGCAACGTGTCGCTGGTTCGATTCCCGCACGGAACAACTCTTTGTGAACAACCTCAAATTGTTGTTCCGGGTCTAGGTGTGATGTGTCTGTGAATTTGTATGTTTGTAACTGCACCCACGATACAGGAGAAAATCCTAGTTTGGGGCAACGTTTTTATCAAATAAAATAAATAATAATTTATTTATGTTACGCCAAAAACGGAGTACATAATATAATATTTCAGTTTGACCTTGAATTACTTAAATTAAAAAACATTCATAATGCAGTTGTCGTACAGTACAATCTATGAATAAAAATAATTAGGGTTTTAGGTGTAAAGCTGATAAACGACAAATCCTTTGGCACGAATGGACCGACTCGATCTGAGTAAAACCAAGACCTTACTTAACTACTTAATTGGCGACACCGGTTGCTTAGGTAAGTACTATCCAAAATGTGCCATCTAGACCACCAAAAAATGGGATAAACAAACAAGGATACATAACATAACTTAAAAGCGTTGCGTTAAAACTGTCATAGCAGCTCTTGAATATGATGTAAATATAAAAATGAAATCCGAATTCAATCAAGCACCTAGTCAGCCATAGTTATGACGAAAAAGGAAAAATAATGCTTTTATTACACTAACCGCCTTAATGGATAGTAAAAGCGTTGCGATATGTATTGTGTAGTCACATTGCTATTTATATGAATTTTTGGGCCGGCACTTGATTCGGTTCAATGAACAATTTCAGTAGTATTTTGATGTATAAAGTGTGGACATAATTTTAGTTTGATTTATGTACAAACTAGCTCTTACCCGCGGCGTCGCTCCCGTCATTTGACTACCTACCCTACTCTGCCTACCCTACCTACCCTACTCTACTCTACTTACCCTACCTACCCTACTTTACCTACCCTACTATACCTACCCTACTCTACCTGCCCTACTCTACCTACCCTACTCTACCTACCCTACTCTTCCTACCCTACTCTACCTACCCTACTCTACCTACCCTACTCTACATACACTACTCTACCTACACTACTCTACCTACCCTAACCCACTCTACCTACCCTAATCTTCCTACCCTACTCTACCTACCCTACTCTTCCTACCCTACTCTACCTACCCTACTCTACCTACCCTACTCTACATACACTACTCTACCTACACTACTCTACCTACCCTAACCCACTCTACCTACCCTAATCTTCCTACCCTACTCTACCTACCCTACTCTACCTAACCTACACTACCTACTCTATCCTATCCTATGTCCTTCTCCCGACTCTAAACTACCTCTCTGCCAATTTTCAGCTAAATCGGTTCAGCCTTTCTTGAGTTATAAGTGGTGTAACTAACACGACTTTCTTTTATATATATAGATATAATGAAAAGTAGCAACGAACAAACTTGTTTTGCCGTCATCGTCATCAAACGAGCAGACGGATTACTTGATGGTAAGCAATCAGCGGTTTGAAAGGACGCTAAGTAGTGGAATTCTTTGTCAGAGTATTTGTTCCCCGAATAACAGTCTTCAAGACCGGATTATATAGTTTACTTATGGTTAGGTGTACTCCATTGTAGGTCTATCATTGCTTATCAGCAGGCGTGGTAGCGGTTTTGTTGGCAAAAGGCTATTGATGAATAACATAATTGCATATAACATTAGTTGCGTATTCCTTACTTAGTTCATGGTAGGGAAGGGGGGGGGGAGATGTGAATGTCACGTTATTATTGCTGAAGTGTATTATTAGGCTAACCACTGATCCAATACCATGCGCAAGCGCAGAACGGAAGCAATTTGCCTTTATTATAACATTTTAGTTACTAATGGACTAACCTAAATCTTATGATAACTGCTAAAGTGCGTTATGCATTTAGATTGTATTATCCAAATAAAAAAAAAGTTTATCTGTAAAGTAGATTTGCGTACGGTAGTTAGACGTGACATCGTCAAACATTACAGTAGAGCAAACCGAACTGTACCGATCATGCATCTCCCTCGTTCGTGCTGCTCTCTCGCTTGCGGAACGCGACAATGAGCGTAACGGGACAGTTGCATATTTTTTTGTGCATTCAGCCCGTAGTATCGAGTTATTAACATTATCACGTCAAGAAATAGAGTGTCGTCGACGAGTGACAGGACAGAATGGAAGAAAAAAACATATTGCGCCGACCCCAAATAAAACGGGACAAGGGCAGGAAGATGATGATCACGTCAAGAAATAATGCGAACCCTTGTATCATGTACAATCCCTTAAGATGACCCACTATCCAATTATTTTTATTTAAAAGTATGTCAGCACTTTTTTACCTGAAACACAGGTTTGCACCTAGTTCAGGTTGATGTTAAACACTGTACTTTTTCTAGATTTTAAGATCTTTTTTTTGTAATCTACCTTTTTACAACAAATAAACATTATTATTTGGATTGATCATCATCATCATCAGCCTATAAGTGCTCTTCTCATGCGAAGAATGTTTTGAGCCTTAATCAGCACTTTTCCTCAAGGCAGATTGGTGATTTCAAACTTATAATTAGAAATTATAAGTCCAGGATTCCCTACGATATTTTTATTCACTGTATGTCATTGGTGTTTAAATAATTATAGAAAGTACGTATAATTTGGTAAAAGACACATTGGTACTTGCCAGGTTTCGCACCCTCATGCGTGAGAATATCTGAGGCCTTAATCACGAGCGCCTTAATCTCCGGGCCATCACGACAATGACTTGGTATGCAGTTAAGAAAATAAAAATTGATTCACTACAGGCAGTCTAACTTAAGTTTGGGAGAGCCATGCTTAGGCACGAATGGGTCGGCTTGACCGGAGTGATACCACGGCCTCACAAAAGACCGGCGTGAAACAACCACAGCGTTGTGTTTCGCCGTGTGAGTGAGGTTAGCGGAGGCCCAATCCTTCCCCGCCCCCAATCTCTCCTCAATCCCTAAATCTCCAAATCCCTAATCCCTACAAGGTCGGCAACGCTCTCGTAAATCCTCCATTGCGGGTGTCCATGGGCGGCGCTGATTGCTTACCATCAGGTAATCCGTATGCTCGTTTGCCGACTAATTACATAAAAAAAAACTAAATTATATTGATGTTACCTCCTTAGTTAGTTTTGGTATATTTTTTATCTTAATTGCCAAACAATGACAACTGTTTCTTCAGTACTGAATCAATGTTTACTTTCGTGCATACGAAATAATTTTGCCGAGTAACTATATACAAAATAACACTACTTAAAATTGCAACAGTCAATGTCACTATCCGAAAACCGGTTAGAACTGGTAACGTTGCGTAAGAGGTCGTTAACCCGGCCTAGGTCAATCGTTTTGTGGTTATGTGGGTACAAGTTTATTTGTTTTCAAAGTTCTGTAGATATTTTATGATTAGTGATATAAGAGGTCATGGTTTTGTTAATGAGCTGCGCGTACTCATTTTTCGTTGCGGTTTAGTTTGAAAATTTATTTATAGATTGGTGTATATGTTTAGACCCTTTTTGAGGGTAAGTGTGGGAGAGCGAAGGTTCGGCATGAATGGGTCGGCTCGACCTGAGTGATGCCACGGCCTCACAGAATACCGGCGTAAAACAACCCACAGCGTTGAGTTTTGCCGTGTGTGTGAGGTTACCGGAGGCCCAACCCTTCTCCTCCCCCAATCACTCCTCAATCCCTAAATCTCCAAATCCCTAATCCCTAAAAGGTCGGCAACGCACTTGTAATTCTTCCGTTGCGGTGTCCATGGGCGGCGCTGATTGCTTACCATCAGGTAATCCGTCTGCTCGTTTACCGACCTATTACATAAAAAAGAGGGGCAAATCATCTTCTGAGAAGGAGTGTCAGACTTTTACTGACTAAAACCCCGTTCTTTGTCATGCCAGCTGAGGCCGCGGAGCCTTATTGCGCTTGTCCCGTAACCACGGATATATTTAGGCGCTGGTGTTCTGTTTTTGCATCTTTATCATGATGATGATGAGTAATCTGGTACGTAATTACCTCGCTGAGAATTTTATTAGATCGCTATAAGAATAGTTTACTTGTTTTGGAGTTGTTCTGATCCAATAACGTATTCAAAATATGTCCGTTTCTTGCTAATAAGCTGAGTAATTCAGTATATATGTACTTAGAAGTTGTATCAACATCTTTGTTGCACGTGGAACAAATTTGGGCCACTAGAATAATGATTAAAGAAAAAAATATAATCTTAGAGGGTCCAAAGAACTTGGAAAAGTCATATTACTACTTCAGGTTCCAAACGCGCAACAAGCGGGAAAAAATTAATCAAACTACCTAAATGTTCATTTTAATAAATCCAAACTAATTATTATTAATGCGAAAGTAACTCTGTCTGTCTGTCTGTTTTTCTTTACGCCTAAACTACTGACCTAATTGTGTCAAATTTGGTATAGACCTAGTTTGGAACTCAAGAAAGGACATAGGATAGTTTTTAAACCAAAAATCTACAGGAAATCACTATTCCACGCGAACAAATTCGCGGGTAGAAGCTAGTGGCGAATAATTTTAACATATTCAGTACGAACTATTTGCTTTGAAACCTATTGGATTTTAACGCAATAACCGCTGTTTAAACAGAATTGCGCAGCAGCAAAAGTAAACCTGTTTGACTGCCAGTTACATCCAGTATATACTAGCGTTTAACCTATAGATCTTACTAGAAATGGCGATAGAGGAAAAGTGTTTTAGAAACGCTTCAGAGGTGTATGATCAAATAATATTACTTGACTGCACGGTTGGCGTGGTAGCTGGGTAACTTGCTGTCGCGTAACGTGTCGCGGGTTCGGTCGCGCGCGGAACAATTCTAAGTGTGTTTTTTTTTTTTTATATATGTAATAAGTCTGCAAACGTGCAGACGGATTACCTGATGGTAAGCAATCAACGCCGCCCATGGACACCCGCAACGGAGGGGTTACGAGTGCGTTGCCGACCTTTAAGGGATTTGGAGATTTAGGGATTGGGGAAGGGTCCGGGAAGGGGAAGGATTGGGCCTCCGGTAACATCACTCACACGGCGAAACACAACGCTGTGGTTGTTTCACGCCGGTTTTCTGTAAGGCCGTGGTATCACTCCGGTCGAGCCGACCCATTCGTGCCGAAGCATGGCTCTCCCACACTTGTTGTTTCACCACAAATTGTTGTTCCCAGTCTGGGTGTGATGTGTATGTGAAATTGTATGTTTGTAAACGCACCCACGACTAGTCTACCCTGGATAATTGGCAAAACTGAACGTCTTATAAAGAAATCTCTATTTGTCGCCGAAACAAATAGCCGACAAATGAGAAAAAGAGGCGTTTCTATAAACCATCACTTCACGTTTAAAAATTACCCTTCACATACAACTTATAAGCAGCGAGAACACCCATAATTCAACCAAGGATGCATAAACAAAACGACAATCACTCTTGGCATAAACTCCAGTACAACATAAGGTTTAATATTGCCCAACTATTTTAAGTAAGACGCAAAGTGCTGCTTTAAAATATTATGCTGCAGTAAATGCATTAAGTTGGGAAATACTTTGGGCTACGGTTGCATTGCGTGCTATTAACTTAAGTCTGAGTAATAATAAAGTTGTGACACTTGTTAGTAACTGTCAGTGTCATTACTGTCACTTTTTTATATTTTTTGACATATGACACACATGACATCAATGATGACAGGCAAAAATTTAAATACCGGTCATTAGAACATCTTTTTTTTAATAGCAACCGTGTCTCTAACATCGTGATTAATAATGTAACATTTTAAGGAGGGAAGGTTGGTTAAGTGTAGCGTATATTGTAACCTCACACATGATGACAGATGTGAAATATGTCCATCTTTCACATCTGTGTGTTTTTTGGTATGGTTTTATATTTAAAAAAAAAACGTTGTCCCGCACGCAACTACGCAATACGCAACTACGACACAGGAGAAGATCCTATCTTCTCCTGTGTCGTAGTTGCGTAGTGTACTAAACATACACTTACAATTTGACCCGGAACATCAATTTGTGGATCACATAAGGAGTTGTTCCGTGAGGGAATTGCACCTGCAACACGTTGCGCATGTTCGCAACGTGTCGCAGGCACGAATGGATCGGCTCGACTGGAGTGATACCACGGCCTCACAGATAATCAATCAGATAATCAGCGTGAAACAAATGCAGCGTTGTGTTTCGCCGTGTCAGTTAGGTTACCGCAGTCAATCCCTAAATCTCCAAATCCCTAATATCTACCCGCAACTCCTCTGTTGCGGATGTCCGTGGGTGGCGCTGATTGCTTACCATCAGGTATTTCGTCTGCTTGTTTGCCAACCAATCACATAAAAAAGATGCGTTAATTTATTGTGTTCTAGGTATGTTTTATTAATAATATATGTGACTTACATTCTCAATAAACTCCGGGTTAGCGGTGTATCCATAGCCGATGAAGATCATCGAGTGAAGACCTAGGATCATCACCATTGTATAGAATCTGAAACAAAACAAACAGTTCAACATCATTCATCACCACACTTGCTCAAGTCGGATTGCCGGTTTCAAACTTATAATTAGAAATCCCAAGTCCAGGTTTCCTCACGATGTTTTCCTTCACCGTTTGTCTGTGGTGTCTATATAATCGTAGAAAGTACATATAACTTGGAAAAGGTCACATTGGTACTTATGCATGAGATGTGGGTGCCTTAACCTCCAGATCACCACGTCATATACCATACCATATTTTTTCCCATTTATGTTAAATAACTTCGGCCAATAACAATAAACACGTGTTATTATATACGTCTGAAGCTCAAAAGTCACTCAGTATTGCTGGCACGATTTTAATCTCGAAGGAGGCTGCTAGCCTGATTGAGTTGCCGAGAAATATGCCCACACAGATCTAGGTCACAACAATAAATACTTATGATTGTGTGTCTACTCTAAGTTCTTGGTTATTCCTAGCAATATGTATATTTGAAAATGTAACGTGATGAAAAAGGAAAACCGAAAATCTCACTTCAAAAGCGAAATATAGCATTTTCTTTTCTGTATGGGATAAGTCACCACATAATTATATCATCTGATCTCGCCGCACATAGACATCCTCAACAACAGAAGACTTTCCAGTGCATTGCCGACCTTTTGGGGATAAGGGATTTGGAGATTTAGGGACTGGGGGAGGTGAAGTATTGGGCCTCCGGTAACCCCACTCACACGGCGGAACAACGCTTTGGTTGTTTCGCGCCGGTTTTCTGTGAGGCCGTGGTATCGCTCCGGTCGATCCGACTCATTGGTGCCGAAGTATGGCTCTCGCACGTTCGAGAAAAAAAATCTTTGTTTGGTTCTTACCTCAACGCTTGGAAACACTTGAAGATTCCACCCTCGGCGCTACCTCCATGTTTCAAAGTTTTCCAGTTCGTTTGGACACAGAAAGCCAGCATGAATTTGTTAGCTACAAAAACAAAAAATATTAAGTTATTTTAAGTACATACATATACATCAATATAATATAAAAAAAATCTTTATGGAAAAAAGGATATACATTTAACACTATACATTAGCACAATATAAAGTACAACACGTTAACGTGGTAACGTACAAAATGAACCCTGTTTTTGACATGGGGCGGGAGGCAGTGTCAGGATCTTACTACTAAAAACCCCCCGTTCCATCTCCTGCTCTGGGCCGAGGTCGCGGTGCCTCATTGCGCTTACCCCACAACCTCGGCTGAACATTAGATACCCGTCTGTGGTGGTCTATTGGCTCTTTGAGGCGTGCGCGGAACGCTACGCGCCGTACGCTCGGGTCTGGTTCTGTTCGGGCGGCGAGCTACCCTTACTCGCCGTCCGCAGACCCACACTTGGATGAGCCGGAGATCGTCTCTCGAACCCTAACGTCTTAATTAAGCCGAGCCTGTATCTTAGACGTTAGACACTTCCAATACTGGTATAAACATATAATAAAACGTATAGATACAGAGAGGAGTATAGTGCGTTTATACAATAACAAGCGTTTGCCCTCGACTTCAATCGCGTAGAATAGTGACTTCCTGCAGATTTTAGACAGACAGACAGACAGAGTTACTCTCGCATTTATAATATCATATCATATCTCGCATTTTGAACACATTTCGTATTAATAAATGATTTATGCTCAGGATGCAAATGTGGGTAGACCTTGTAACTATCTGCTAAAATTATAATTATCTTCTGTGAGTCAGATTTTTATAAGTACCTTCATCCGAAATAATTGTAACAGAAACAGTGCATGAAGTAGCTGCGCAAACACTCAAAACTGTATTTTGTCTAAATGTAACATAAACACGACAGTAGGAAAAATATAAAATTAGTTATAAGTCTACCTAAGCATGTAAATGGTATAATTATAAAAAAATATGATCAAAAATGTTGACCTCTACCTTGATTCTATTTTCGAACAAAAAAGAGTTATGTTGACACATTGACCTTTAAACAAAACTAGCTTTTGCCCGCGACTTTGTTCGTGTGCAATAGTAATTTCCTGCAGATTTTTTTGTTTTAAAACTATTCTATGTCCTTTCTCGAGTTCCAAACTATGTCTGTACTAAATATCACACAAATCGGTTCAGTAGTTTAGGCGTGAAGAAAATACAAACAGAGAGTTACTTTCGCATTTATAATATTAGTTTACATTAGATTAAGAATTAATTAGGAAAAGAATACACTTTGTTCAGAAGCGTGACTAGGATGTTATTTAGTATTCTACACCGATCCATATTGAAATAACATTAGAGACAAAATTAATACGTTAATTGAAAAATGTCTCATAAAGAATACACGTGCCTTGCGTTGATTTACTTGAAAAAAAACAATCGAAATACCAATCGAAAGTCACGTGAACCTCACAAATGTATTTGTCTCACACATGAGTTCTTTACTAAGTTTTTTGCAGTTTATTACCATAAGAATGACCCAAGTAGTCAATTATAATTGCTTCATCAATAGGAATAATGGAAAAACCTAACGTGAATATGGATTTTGCTTAAAATTTTCATAATTAGTCAACTAAAACGAGTAACCAAGGCTACAAAAACAAGTTATGATATATGTTTCATTTATATTTTTGAAGTGTTTCCGTGTATCCCCCCTTTTAGTGTATCCCCACTCTTGAGCTCTATTTAGCCATATAAACTATTTGCACTGCAAATCAGCCATAAGTTAGAGATAAAAAAAAATTAGTGATTTTCTAAAAAACAGCAGACATGAAAGCGTCTGTCATTATTCTTGGTGTTATGTTAATCGTTTTTCTAGAATTTGTTCATGTAAGTTCAGTTTTTTTTTTATATCCGCTTTATATTAGCTTCATTTGTATGTTTGTAACTGACTTCTATAGACGCGATTTTGATCCCGATTAAATGGCCACATTTCATTCAAACTTTGTAGATTATCGAGGACTGATGGACAATACACTAATTTGATATGATTGTTTCATTATTCAATTTGCCAAATAAATTTTTTGACAATTTATATAATTTTAATCAAAAGCATAATAGGACATGAATAAATGTTAAAGTAATTAATAGTTTAAAAAAATATAAAATACGCTCTTCTAAAAAAAGTCAAGAAATGAAAAATAATTATTAATAGTTAAAACACGCTTTATAGAAATTCCAAGAAAAAGTTAGAAATTAAATTTTAATTGTAAATAGTGTAAAAAAAAACATTGTAAAAAAGCGTGGGATGCTTTTTAGCTTATTTATAAATAATATAATAATAATTCTCTCATATATATCTATCACAAAAATATTTATGACTATTGGACCATGCACCTCACGCTTTTGACATATAAAATTTTTTTTTTGACTGCACGCTTGGCGTTGTTGCTGGGTTGTTGGTGGGCTGCCGTGCGACGTGTCGCGGGTTCGATTCCCGCACAGAACAACTCTTTGTGTGATCCAAATTGTTGTTTCGGGTCTGGGTGTCATGTGTATGTGATATTGTATGTTTGTAAACGCCCATGACACAGGACAGAATCCTAGTGTAGGGCAACGTTTAAAAAAAAAAACACCAGTTTTTCATTTAAAGTTATTTTCTATTCTTTAGTTGGTTTTCTTGCGAAACGATTTTTTACAAAACGATTATTTATTATTTAACTATTTAGTAAGGACGTAATTTGACAAAAAAATACATTGCTTTCAATAGTATACTAAATTTAAATTCAAAGAAATTTGCGGACCGGAATCTCTGACGTAATAAATAAAAAAAATCATACAACTTCCCGCATTTATTTAACTAGCTTCCGAACGCGGCTTCGCCCGCGTGGTATGTCGATAAAAATGTGTCAATAAAAAGTAGCCTATGTCCTATTCCGGGCTATATCCAATGCCTGTGCCATATTTCATCCAGATCCGTCGAGCCATATTGACGTGATTGAATAACAAATATCCAAAAATCGACCTTGGCATTTATAATATAAGTAAGGTTAGAAAGATAAAAGTTTTCTACTGAATATAACTAATGTTCATTATTTTTATTTCAGGCGTGTACAGATAACAGCGGATGTCCACCGGGCTACTATTGTAGTCTAAAAAAATGTTGGCCTGGATCTGAAAATTAATTCAATAGACATCGGCAACACAAAAAAAAAAATGGTTTTAGTAGATCGACAAACTTTTAAATACTTGAATAAAATTTATGCATTATCTGGTTATAAAAAATTTCGAATGAGTTAATAAATGCTGCTTCAAAAATATTTGTATTTTTGTTTTGTTTTTTTTTTGCATGATTTAAACGCGAAGTGTGTGGGTAAGCTAACAATAGACTAAGATCAGAGAAGAAAAAAAAAGAAAGAGAGAAAAAATAAAATAGTTTTAACAAAAGAAAACCGACTTCAAAAAGCAAACTAAAAAGCAAAAAATAAATTTACTTTGTTTAAAGTAATACATATTTACATTTAGTTAAATAGATAATTTTGAAGGCATCATATACTTAGAAATAAACGATATTAAATATTCAATAAAGGAAATTCAATTCAATTCTGTGCAATTCAATTCAATTAAATTCGAGATAGTAATAAATTGAAACCATTCTGCAATGCATATCTCTGCTGAACTTAATGTTCGCTGAAAGAAATTGCTACTTGCACGTCTTTGGGATATTTTTGATCGTTCTCTGTGCTTTTTGATCAATAACAATAATTGAAAAAATAGTCATTCAAAAAGGTATCAATAAATTATCTAATACCTAATCTGTTTAAGTAAAAACCAAGTAGCTTTTTTATCTTGAACAAAACCACTAATCAAATTAGTACCATAAAGATATGAAAAAAAAATATTTCTGTAGTTTCTAAAGTCTGATCTGAAACAAAAACTCACAAGTCCTAATGATTTTGTTGATTTTAACATCATCCAAGTTACAACCGATGCAAGGTAAAATAGTGGAATAGGTGCTGAACCAGATTATATTGACGACGATGTCACGAGGCGAACAGAGTGACCCCATGGAACGGAAGGTGGGGTAGAATGCCCTATAACACCCTATAACGATTCTATTTAAGTGTCTTGTACTGAATTAAACTTTTACTTATGTTTATTTTATGTCGGCAAATGAGCAGACAGATTACCTGATGGTAAGCAATCAGCGCCGCCCATGGAAATTCGCAACGGAGGAGTTATGAGTGCGTTGCCGACCTTTTAGGGATTAGGGATTTGGAGATTGAGGGATTGAGAAGAGATTAGGGGAGGGGAAGGATTGGGCCTCCGGTAACCTCACTCACACGGCGAAACACAACGCTGTGTTAGTTTGAAAAATGTTATAAATTTTAAAGGTCAATGTCCAACGTAACTCTTTTTACGAAAATAAAATCAAGGTAGAGGTCAACATTTTTGATCATAATTTTTATCATTTGATTATATGGCATTTATATGCTGGTAGGTAGTCTCAAAACTGATTTGAAAACTGGAATTAATATTTTATTAATTCATATTTTTATGGACTGGGTCGCCGAACGTTTGGATCTCGGTAAGTAAGCATGGATAACGTAAATTTATCACATATTTCATGCCAGTTTTCGTTGAGGCCGAGACCTCCTATCGAGCCATCTCACATTCTGTGGCGAAGCAAATCTCTACAATATTATAAACTAGCTGCCACCCGCGACTTCGTACGCAAGTAATGTACATATTTTGAGGTTTTAGAAACAGCAGCGTTGAAAGCGATAGCTCTCAGGAAAATTATAGCTAATAATCAAGGTAGGACTTTGGAAATTCGACGAGCAGTTCCAACGATCCTATATACAAACTTACAAATTTTACCTCTATAATATTAGTATAGACTAGCAACTGTCGCTCAGTTTCACCCGCTGCTCGAGTCCATTTGATTTTAGCGTGATGTTTTATAGCCTAAATAGCGCTTAAGAATATAGTAGCTATCTATTAGTGAAAGAATTTTGGCAGTCCGACTAGCGGTTCCTACATAAAAACTTACCAATTTCACCTCTTCATAAAATTAGTATAAATTTAATTTGACACTATACCTTTTTCCTTCTCCACGGGCCATAAGAAGTAGTAAGCAGAACAGCCCAGGTTGACCAGCAGAAGAGCCAGCAGTAAAACTCCAACAACGTAATCCAGAACATCTGGTGGTATGTAATCATCCTGGGTCTTACAGTACCGGACTGATAGATTATCCACCTGGTAGACAACGGCAGAGAATTAGACATTCGATTCTGGATATATGCGGATTTAACTAGTTCAGGGTATTCTTCAATCAAAGCTTTATATTGTGTCAGACCATACATATTGAATTTAATTCATAAAATAAGGTATTTCAACATTGAACCTTATTATTGAAACATATTTGATTCAAATGCATTCTTTTTGAGTTAGGCCTCTTTTCTATTAAGTAATCGGTATAATAAAATAGGTAATTATTAAGACAGAATTCAGAGACTGTTATCGCTATTCATAACCAAATTTCACTGAGCTAAGACCAGTTTCTGACATTGATCTCTTAAAAAGTAAATTTCAAAATGATCTGTTAAATCGATATTGAAGTGTAAACAGTAGTGTGATTCTGTAAGACTTCATTCTAAACTTCGAATCTGAATCCACCGTGAGTAGTAGTACACTAGCGCTACACTTGCGAGTTGAACTAAATTGACAGCAACATTTTGATAGATAAAGGTATGAGATGACGTTAAAAGTGACATTCTAAAATTTTATTTCCCCGTCACTTCGACGCTCACTGCGGACTCGAACAAGATTTAAAATCAAACGAATTTTATAGAATCGACGTGCAGATGGTAATAAATAACTTAATTGAGTAATTAAAAGAAAGTTAGCTTTAAAGAAGAATAGAAGTTTGCAAAAGAAGAAGACATGGGGATATAGAAAATCTGATTTTTCTCTTAAACAGTGTAAGTGTAGAATCCAACGCTATTAGTTTTAACTTTACACCTTTCTTTCTGCATTTGGTTCACAAAATTCTTAACCAAATTAAACCATATTTCCAATTTAAGAACTTAACAAAATTGAAGTCAAAATCTAGTTTTAAACCCGTACAGAAGATTATCCTTGTCCAAATTTCCTTTTTTACTACAAAAGACAGGAAAATTTACAGCGAAGTAGTTTCCCCGAAAACTCTACAATGTCGCTAAACGAATTTTGGCGCTTAGTAACACATGTTTGGGCCGTAACTTAAACCAATAATGGCCGACATTGAGCGTAAAAATGCATCTTAAAATGATATTATTTTCTTCCTAAAATTTGGAGGAAATTGCATTGTAAAAGCCATAAAGTCTAAATATGATTTACAGTGCAGTTTTTTAAGGTTTAAAAGAAATACTCAACTCTTTCATAATTGCTTCAGTTTTTTCTATGCCAAAGCTTCTTATTTTTCTTAATACTTTAATTTTTACAGATTTTGCGCCAGAACAGTCAAAGAAATCAATGTCAGGTACTTGTTGATGCCTGGGTTGTACAATAAGGTCAATTAGGTACCGCGGCCTAAGCTTATAGCATTATAAAGGACGTTTTTAATCATTAAGAGAGAGAGAGATGATTAAATGATTTTTCTTTCTCAAAAAATGTAAGTACTTGTTGAACTACTATATTTTAAAGTTAATAAAATTAAGTAATAGAATAAGAATGATAAACTTTATTTAAAAAATATAGACTTCCTAATTAATTGTGAGAATTATGACTCACGTTATGTTGCAGATTTTGAGACTTTCTGTCCGTCTCTACTTTATTCTTTATCAAAATCAAAAACATTTTCGTTACCTGCAATCCATACCCTTGATGTATACTTGAATTCAGGCAATTCCTCAAAGCTTCTGATGTAGACTCGCCAGCGTCAGCATGAGTGGTGTTCAGACCACAATGCTGGGAGCCACACACTCCTCGATGCAACTTTGAGTGTTGATAGTTCTTGTAGGTCAGCGAGGAGAAGTTCTGAACAAAAGGATGTTTTTGGAATTATAAACTGTCAATGATTCCAAGGACTTCAAGAAATCTAAAGATCACACGTAGAACAGCTTTCTGCTTATCATAAATTCTATTGAAATACAAATAATCATACGGTCAATGGTAAAATGAGTGTAACAATTTACTCCAGTTCAATATATTAACATTATGATCTGGCTCGAAGGGTCATATATTTATTGCATTAAGGTTCAATTCCTTGCACTGTTTATGTTGTGTTAGAATAAATAACAAACGCGACCATATTGAACTAGATAAATATAATGTTTCGCATTTTTTGGTAAGCAGTCACAATAATGATACACGTCCTTATTTATAAGCTCAAACATAACATTATCCAAAAAATATCATTCAAACACCATACTGCTTCAAACGTATAAACTTTAAGGCAAATATTTTCATACCAACACATACCATGTCAAGGTGATATTTGCTAGCTTACTGAGCGATTGATGGGTACAGACTCAACTAAAATGTTCAATAGTTATATCTACAGGCTCAAAGTAACTGTTCTATCGTTATTTTGTTGTAGGACCTTTTGATTTTATATTTTGTATTTTAAGGTGATGTATTTGTAGGTACTTTTAGGTCACCGATCACATTGATTTTACTTTAGAGGTGTCATAAAGCGACTGGTACCACAAAAACTCAAAGCGCGGTCCAGGTTGCCGGATCGAAAAATAAAAAAAAAACTTCCGGTGACTGGGATCATTAACAGATAATCTAAAAAATCATTTATTCGAGCTTAAATTGGTCAGTGAGAAGATAAAAAAAATGATTTTTATTTATCATTGACTTGTTATCGACACGATTTTACCCTATGCGCTTGGTCAGTTATTAAGGAACTCAAAACACACAAAAACGGTAATAATTGGAATATGAAAATTTCCACAAAAATGTTTGGTAACGATTCCCCAAACCTTTTATAAATTCTTCGTAATAATAAATACCTACCTTTATAAACTGATACAATGGTGTATCATCTTCCAGAAGTTCCAGGTCTACTATGCAGTAGACGGCGTCAGGCTTCTTTAGACAAAGATCGAAGTCATCCAACTCTGATAGCGCTGGCATTGAATGATAATCGAAAATCGATTCTGGTGGTTCATCTGTGAACAAGACAATCAAAATGAAGTATGATCTAAACCTCATGTTTCATGACAGCCCGGAGGATAAGGCACTATAAAGCATAGGTGTAAAAGAGGGTTCAAAACGTGGTAAGTACCGATGAAAATATCCCGTGTTATATTGTACTTTCTATGATTATTTAGACACCACTGACATAAAAATATGATGAAGAAAAACACCGTCAGGAAACCTGAACTTTTTCTTATTATATGTAGGTATGTTAGAAATCGCAAACCGACTTGAGCAAGCGTGATCATTAATGCTCAAACCTTTTCCGTGTGAGAAGAGGCCTTTTCTCAGCAGAAGACACTATAAGCTTATGATGTATCCAACAATCATATTGCTTGAAGGACTGGTGGCAGTGGCGAAAGAAAAACTTAGCATGGGCAGTCCTCTAGGTAGCCCGACGTTGTTAGAGTCGTGAGGATCCATGGGATGGAATTGGCATACTGTAGTCTACATGAAGAACAAAGAAGGACATTTTGGCAGCCGGACGCCCGTTCATCCGTTTTTTTTTTCTCGCCGATGATGATGATTATTCGAAAATACTTATAACATCGTCAATAGCAAAAATTTCCCCATCAAATTCATCATCAGCTGGCCTTAAGATGCATACTGAATTTCTTTCTGACATTTTTCAGGTTCTTTGTTAACCTTAGATGGGGAAATAAAATCGGGGAGAATTTTGACCTCGCTCATCAAAAAATATCTCAGTTTATAACTAAAAAGTTCCTTAGGAAAATCTAAAGGTTGTTGAAAAATGTTAGGCGAATTTTCTCGTTTCTATGATCTGGATAATATTTTAGAAAAATATTTCTAAGCTTTACCCTCTATCGTAAAGTCAAAATATTTTCTTCCATTAAAAATGTTTATAGTATCCATTTGAAGATAATAATTTTGGAAAAATATTTTCTATTTACATTTGTACGTATTTCGAATGTACTAAGCTGTTTCTTAAATAAGTGTTATGAGTATTGGAAACCAATTTCTAGGTAGAATTTATTATTACGGTTTTCAATAGGAAAAATTGTTTCGAGAACGCAAATGTTTGCTAATGGCTCACCACACGGAAAGAATTCCTGAACTATGAAAATAGGCACAGTAGCACAATCAATAAAGTAGTTTTAATGAAAAATTGTAACATTGAAATATACAGCAACTTTTTTTTATGTAATATATCGGCAAACGAGCAGACGGATTACCTAATGGTAAGTAATCAGCGCCGCCCATGGACGCCCGCAGCGGAGGGGTTACGAGTGCGTTGCCGACCTTTTAGGGATTAGGGATTTGGAGATTTGTGATTGAGGAGGGATTGGGGGTGGGGAAGGATTGTTTTCTGTGAGGCCGTGGTACTGGTTTTATTCCAATTAATTTATTTTTAAAATGTATGAAATGATATTTAATTATAATATCAATTGCAATAATTTTATAAACGGGGAGTTGATACGAAATTCTTATGTTTTTGGGTTCAAGTCTGACCTTCAAAACATTGGATCAACGAAGCAGGTTTATGTTATGATAATAAGCTTCCAAATACGTATAATGTTTCGTGCTGATCAATAATTCTCAACAGAAATGCTACCTCAAGAAGCAACACATTAAAATACCGGTTTTTTATCAACAGTAAATAATATTGGAGTCTTATTTATGACGTCATAAAAAATGATAAAAACCCCAACGTACTGCAATGTTTAGAAAAGGAAAAAACAATATGTAGACCTGAGGAACTACTCCAACCGGCTCAATTAAAGATGGCTGACACGTAATCTTCGTCTATACTGTGTATCTACCCAGTCCACGCTGACACCTAACCGCGATACTCGTAGAACGAGGAAAATGAGATTATAATATAAAAACACGCATCGTAATATCTCGTGATTAGTTTGCGGAGTGGTGTTCGATACAAAGTGCTCAAAATGTTAAAAGTATTACCGTTCTTCGTATTACTTGTGACTGTTTCTTGTGAAAATAGTAACGTAGACGCGCTGATAGATCAAATATTTGGACCTACAACTGTTAAAGTTACTCAAGAGCCTAATAAATCAACGGTAACAGTTGATCAAGGAAATAAAACGTGCACGACTCCCGATGGATTGGAAGGAGAATGCGTCGTTTATTACCTCTGCAACGCCACTAATACTACTCCGGAGCCAATAATTGATCTTCACTTCAATGAGAACGAGTGTGTGTCGTACGTAGACGTCTGCTGCCACAAATCACATAGATTATCTGATGACCACTACAAAACTTTGACTAAACGGTCACCGTTTAATGAAATGAAAGAAAAAATGGCAGAAAACCCTACGTTACCGGATCCTAAACCAACTGCGCCAGGTGATACTAGTAAAGGTGACATTCTATGCCAGACAAGGGATGGCAAACAAGGTAAATGTGTACCTTATTATCTCTGCAATGCTACCTATAGCACTGGCCAAGGCGATAAATATGTCAGTGATAACAATTGTCCGTCTTACATAGAGGAATGTTGCAAAGAAATCGATATTATGTCTTTAGATCATTTCAAATCCAGACATAAACGATACACTTACAATTATGTTAAAGTAAATCAAGATTCTGGGAGTGAAAATAAAACTGTTAAAAACAATACCCAGGAAACTGATACACAATCAGTTGAAGCAATTCGTGAATATTGTAAAACTAAGGAGGGTAAACAAGGAGAATGTGTCCCTTATTATTTATGCAATGCGAACAATACTGTAACTGGTGTAGGGCAGATTGATGTAGCAGCTGTCGAAGAAAATGTATGTTCTTCATACATGGATGTTTGTTGTGAAGATGTAGACAAATTACCTTATGCGCCATTAGAACGCGAGGGCTGTGGATGGGCAAACCCTGCTGGTCTAAGCTCAATAAAAGTTCCACCAGAAGAGACGAGATTCGGAGAATTTCCTTGGATGGTTGCTATTCTTGAAAAGGTTCCGCTTAAAGAAAATGATCCTGATAGTGAAAAACTTAACGTATACATTGGCGGAGGTTCCTTGATACATCCAAGTGTAGTTTTGACAGTAGCGCACTACGTTCATAACAAAACTGACATTAAAATAAGAGCAGGAGAATGGGATACAACCTCAACGAAAGAACCCTACCCATACCAAGACAGACAAGTGGCTTCAATTGAAATTCATAAGGACTTTATAAAAAGAACACTATTCTACGACATAGCTTTACTATTTCTTGCTAAACCTGTAGAACTAGCTCCGAATGTAGGAGTCGTATGTTTACCAGCACCAAATGTCCCACAAGAGGAGGGTGCGCGTTGCCTAGCAACGGGTTGGGGTAAAGACAAGTTTGGGAAAGGAGGCCACTACTCCACTGTACTTAAAAAAGTTGTTTTACCTGTTGTAAACCATAATAGCTGCGAGAAGATACTTCGTTCGAAGACTCGTCTTGGGCCAGTGTTTAGCTTACATTCAACATTTATGTGTGCTGGTGGGGAGAGGGATAAAGACACTTGTACTGGTGATGGTGGTAGCCCACTATCTTGTCCTATAGACACAGATCGGTTCGTTCAAAGTGGTATTGTTGCTTGGGGTGTGGGGTGCGGGGAAGACGGCGTCCCAGGCGTGTATGTAGATGTGTCAACCCAAAGAAACTGGATTGACGACAAGATTATCGGTAAGGGCTATGACCCTAAAGTTTATACTTATGTGCATAAAGGTACATATTGAGTTAAACAGTGATGTGGTGACGCAAATTAGGAACTTATGCACATGGATTTTGTGACTACTTTGATATAAAAAAAATTTGCATCGAACGTGATAAATACTTTCGTGATTTGTTTTATTACTAATTATAGAACCGTTTTGTAACTATTTCATTCATTGTGATTCAAAGTGTGAGTGATTAATCATCCATTAATACATTTTCTAAAGGATCTATATGTGAAACTGATTTAAAAAAAAAAAATGAGTTTCTTGCACGTTCTAATTCATCGGAATCAACAATTTAGTACGAGCAAATAGTTCCAATAAGAGGATTGAGTGACAGACTGACTTATCATTTTCAGCTTTGTTTGATGTTCAAAAGGGCCATCAACGGTCTGATTTGTAATAAATGATTTTGATTTTAAATTTGACTTTGAATTACCTTAAAACAATATCATAGTCATTTAAAAAATGGTTCGAATGATGGTAAGTCTATACTAATATTATAAAGAGGTAAAATTTGTAAGTTTGTATGTTGGGGATAATCTATGGAACCGCTGGTCTAATGGTAAAATTATTTCACTGATAAATAGCTACAATGTTCCTGAATGCCATAAGCTATAAAACATCACGCTACGATTAAATGGAGCCGAGCAGCGGGTGAAACCACGCGAGAGTAGCTAGTAATATTATAAATTGAAAATGTATGACAACATACAAACACACCTATTATTTAAGTGTATTACTTATTATGCATAGACTTGTCGTGGCCACATAGATTTTGTCACTCGATGAAATGCTTGAGTTTGTTATGATATAAGAGGTTTCTTATCTTTTTTTATGTGATAGTTCAGCAAACGAGCAAACGGATTACCTGATGGTAAGCAATTAAAATTAAGCGTCAAAATCAAAATTTAATAGCGAAATTTACACCCGCAACGACGGAGGACTTACAAGTGCGTTGATTAAGTAGATGAGATTTTGAAAATAATTATTTGTTCAACATTCGTCCTTGAGTCGTAGCGCATAATGTTCAAAATCATACCTGACCTTAATCGACTATCAGATGTTTCCAAGTTTTTGTGATTTTAATAATAATGAAGGTAAGTTTTATAATACCTACTGAAGGTCACTAAGGACTAGTAGTTAAGTCATTGATTGAGAAGATTGTACTTATATGTGATTTTAAAAAATGCTATTTATAGTTCAGATTCAGATAATTCAGAAAATTTACATTTGTGCTGGTCAGTTTTCGAATGAACCCACGCATAAGAAGCGGGCTTTTGGCTTCAACGACTTATAATAACTTATAAAGT